TCTATTTTGAGTTAGATCAGTCGTAAGGTCGATAATTTTAAACTTTGCTAATAAAATACTGATCTGTATTACCAAAAATGCGTTTTCATCATACATAATTATGCTGATTTACAACTTGTTTAAATTAAGGGACATATCTATGCTTTTTTAAATTGAATACATGTTTTTTAATGCCATTTAACCCAAACTTTTTTTTAAAAAGGGGCAGTCCAAAAATTGTTATATGTTTAATTTGCAACCTTGGTCGTACCACTCGAAAACCGGGCAATATAGGTAAAAATATTTAAAAAAAGGACGACAGTGTAAAATTCGATTATAAATAACTCCTACCCTTTGTAGTTTTTTCGGCATTTTTCTGAGTGAGTTATTTTTCAAAAACGAATTGAGCCATTTTTTGAAATTGCGCGGTTGTCACCTTGCCATTTGAGGTAGGTCAAAACGGTCAAGTGCAATCCAAGTTTCTGGGAAAACCAAAATGTGAAAGCCGTTTCCCAACATTCTTACGAATAAAACATAGGAGGTTGCTCGAATTTTGTGTACAGAAAAACATCATTTTTTCTCCCGCCACTCGCACATGCTTCGAGAGGTACAACTTACCCACGCAACGTATTAGCGACCTTTGTATCTTTTTGAAGGTTTCACAAAACAAATTTTGAAACCAAACAGATATTGCAGTTTAATTTTGGCAAAGTTTCTTGTCGCTCACAACTAGCGGAGTTATGGCAAAAAATTTCGAGAGTGCGCTGGCGTTTTATTTTTAAAGATATCCCAAGATATCAACAAATAATTTTAACAAAGCACTGGTAATTTTTTCTCAGCTTTCTGACGGTGCTAAAATAACATTTTTTTTACTTTCTTATTCCTTACGGACTCACTCTGTATAAAATATAATGAAAATTACAATTATGTCAAAATACAATCAAATGCCTTCTTGTGCGTGTCCCAAAATTTTATAAAATCAAGGTACAAGTAAAGAAGCACCTGAATGTTGTAAACCGTAAAAGTCAAAATTTAACTTAAAAAATAAAATCGAGCCAAATATTTATTCAGGTGGTTGAAAAAAAAACTTATTTTGATAAAAATATATATGGGGTATATGCCATTTTGAATGACAGATTCAATACAAATATTTTGAACGTGCTAAGCGTGCTATTTCTGCTAGATCTGTGCTTGACAAATAAATGAATGGAATAAAATGCTGCAATCAACCTGAAACAGATTTTGAAATACAGCTGACAGCAAGGTACTAATCTAAGTCGACCCTAAACGCATTCGATAGATACTGTCACTCGGATTTAATAGCCATCGGCAAGGTAATCAATAAAATTGTTAGGAACATCTTGTAGGGCGATGACTCTAGTTCTGTGCGTGACAGCATTTCCAAGTAACCAAATCTACATAGATCGGTGTGGTATAAATCTCTGCCAATAACGAAATGTATAATGCCGTTTTATTACGATATTTTTATTAGAAAGAAAATAAACAGGGCGAATACTGCGAAAATGCATGATGTACATTACATAACAACGTTTTATACCGTATACATTGCAGGCAAACTTTTCTAATAGAATAATCTGAAAGAAATTGGAGTTATGTTTTCATTTCGAGTTAAGATTTTCAGAGAGCGCGCGTTTCCCTGGAGATTCTCGTTTTCATCGGATTCAAGATCTTTTAATTTTTATTTTTACAACAGTAACGTTAAGCGAAGTGAAAATAATCCACTCGTTGAGGTTAACTTTCTTTGCCTTTTTATTTTAACGAACCAAATTTAATTCTGAATAGCTGGGTCAATCATTTCTTGAAATTACTGCGTCAATAAGTTTACGTATTTTCTAGAAGTCGTTATTGTGATTTACGAGAAGTGGTTGTACGTAAGTGGAAAGTATTTCGTTCGATCCGATTACAATTTCCCGAAAATAGTTCATAATTCTGTTAGTGCATTTCCTTTGTGGTCTACTTGAATTGGATTCCGTTGCGCTTCATTGCATCAAAATCACAGTGCTTTACTTCTTGTAATGGAATTGATAGTGTTTTCAATTAAATGTACAAACAATTTCCGTTTTTCGGAATTTCATTCGAAAAGGGCTAACGCATTCCTTGTATTCTGATCAACAAAAGATGAAAGCGCAGATTGTATTATTTTTATTTTTCAGAAGATTCAATTCCCTTTAGTCTCTTTTTACAGTTCTTTAACAACTAATAGTTTCTTCTCCGCCGCAGATTCAGTTTCCATTTGATGTACGGTCACTCTCAAAATTAATGATACTTCCCTGCTGGTGTAATTTACTATACATTTCTAAATGTGGATGGAATACAGCTATTCCAACATGTCTCGCAAAGCTGTGAAAATGACATCTGGCTTACGAATTTGTTTGCCTTGTTATAGTTGAAGCCTCCGATGATTATATCCGATTATGAGATGATTAGCGCTGTAATCTCTCGATGTTGGCAAATGCTTCAAAAACATAATAAATCCATGTATTAGTGTATCTTTTCAGGTCACAAATAGATATTACCATTCTGGGTACCCAGGTATAACAATTACATGAATTTTGTTACCTGAATGAAGAATTCACATCGATATTTAATTTGTGAACCTCCGAAATGACAAAATGGTGCCGATAATGAAAATACAGGTGTCCCATAAAATAATCATAAACATCTTCCCGTTAATGAAGATATCGCCAGCATAGGAAGAGAAATTTTCCAGCAATTCACTCTAAAACAAAAAAAGGACAGGGAGCACGAGTTAATTCACTTGTTCATTGAATTGATGGTTGCTTGAGGAGCCAAAATACTTCGATCCACGGTCGATTCCGTTAATTAATGTGTTGTAATCCTTTAAGGAGAAGGCAGACTTTTATACATCACCAAAATCAAATCGATCATGCATCAGTAGGTTGGTGACGATGATTTTCAAAATTCAAAGAAAATGAACATTAGTGTAATCCCTTGAAAATGACTCATTGATCCCATTTCGTTATCTCCACTTCAAGCGCTGTTTGTTGTAGGTTATTTCAGATAAGGTGCTGTTATTGTACATACGTGCTCAGTCCCCAAATTGGTATACGAAGGAAATGGACCGGTACCAATAATAATTAGCACTCGAACTCGTATGTAACCGTGGATGTGAACATATAACCTGCAAATAAAACCCAAAACTAGATCTGGAACCCTGAAAGAAACAACATTCAAATTCCCTTCGACCCAGGCTTCGAACACATCATTTAACCTACCTCCAGTGACGGTTGAAAGGTTGAAAATTAAATTGCTTCAAATCCGAATTGCAAAATCCTAGAACGTATATAGGTAACATATGGTTAAAGAAAATGGCCGTACTTACGTATTCACCACAATTCAATTAAATCCTTTACAAAGCGAGATCGATCGATCTATGCGAAAATTACTCCAAGAAATTACACCAAATCAAAGTTAATCGTCCTAAAATAATAATACTTCAAAATCTTTCAATTACATAGTCGGCGTCGCGACGTTGAATTTTTAGTAATAAACACATTAAAACGTGCTGACCAACAAAACAAGCAAGAAAGACAGGAGGAATTGAAGGAATTTAGTCAATTAGCAGGCGCATTCCAACTCGCCTTAAGAATGCACCAATAATGATTCGCCACGAACTAAATAAGATATAAATGAAAACTACAACTACTACCAAACTGGGGGAATTCTGTTCCGCTGTCTGATGGTCTGGGTTGGCATTTTGGGCATTTGGATGGTATTTCGCCTGGTGCGCCACGGTCGTGGCACACAATTTTGGAATCACCTCCAGAGACTGGATCCACTGTTGCTTTGCTTCTTTCTGTTGAAGATTCTTACATTCAAAATTGTCATGCCCAAAATTCTTGCCCTGAGACTAATCAATCCCTAAATTATGTCTATCTGTATATTCTCTTCTAATTGGTAGGATATGTTGGCACAATCCTTAGAGGTGGGCTTCAACGTCGGATAGATCATCAGAACGTGCGTGACACTTTGGAAAATTAGCACTCGTGTAATTTCCTACAGGTTGCGTTGTACCAATTTGCCTTAAAGGAGCTTGAAACTGCTCGGCTGTCAACACTATCCAACATGGAGTTGGCATGTAATTTAATAATTTTATCCCTATTTGCCGACGAGTGGAGTTGATACTCGACAACGGTACTAACGGTCCCTGGTTCGAATCCGGGTTCGGACATAGACATTTGTAAATGTATATAGTGGATTGCGTTAACTTAAAAATAAAACGATTTGTTACATGCCTTATCGTGTTAATTAAAATTTTAGAGAATAAGTAATAAGGGATGAAAAGGTTAATGAGGAAATGTTACTGTAAAAGAAGTTTTCGTCGAATCAATTCATAAAATTTATGTGTGCGGAGTTAACCACCCCCAAAATAGTTTAGGTTTTGTTTTTTATGCACTACCCTGTACTCTTTATGGTCTAAATATCTATATCAACGTAATTATTTAAATGCATTTAATCTCAAATTAGTTCCCAAATGGGAGTTAGTCACAACGAGAATGTGCAAATGCAGAAAAGTGTCCTTAAACACGTTACTACCTCAAACTATTTTCGAAAATCAGAGCATATTATCCAAAGTAGGTAAATATTTATATTATATATTTGTTCAAGGGAATATCCATAAACGTTTTATATGCGAACTTTTACTGATATTACGTCAGTCAGTTTTCCACTAAATTTTATTTACCTGACCTAAGAGCGAAGATCGTAAAATAAAACGTTACGTCGAACCTTCGCTTAAATATTGCATTTCATTCAATGCCATGCAGTTGCACTTAGTGTAACAGCATTGTAAATAAATACGATTTGCACTTGAAGATCTCGCGTTATATCTTCCAACTAACTGGAACGGTGCCAATTAATCGGAACGATTCGTCTTTTATTCTTTTTTTGAACGTGTCTAATTACCATAGTTATTAGAATTATAATTAAACTTGCCGAAGGGTGTAATTACGTCTAATCTTCTGCAATTTATTTTTTAGAGTATGGATGCCTGCACAACATGTAAGGTTTGCGGAGGATATCGCCTGCTTCCTTGTCCCGTTTGTAATGGCAGCAAGAAATCCCTTCACCGGAACCACTTTACCACCGAATTTGTAGCTCTTAAGTGTATGAACTGTGATGAAGTAGGACTCGTCCGATGCACATCCTGCCAATAAGCGACGTCTTTATTCCAATACAATTACTCAAGATATTCCCTAATTACACCGACCCAAATGAAAGATGACACAAAAGTGCTGCAGTTTGCAATGGCATCGGCCTTCACATAAATAAATGGGATTCTACCATCACGATCAATATATCCGGGGCGCCGGAAGCAAGTCAATCCTGCAAATGCTGCTGCGGGATTTTCACGTGCATCAATCTTAAAACTAATTTTTGATGTCCAACTTTTGCCATAAGTACGTTCAGGTTTCGAGGATGAATAATAATAAAAGAATACAAGGCTATTATAACTTATTAATAACAACAATGGGTTGTAACAATCATTTTAGGTTTCCACTTGTTGATATGACAACGTGGTTGTGCAATGACGGTAGTTTTTAGTAATTCCGTTGAACTAATGTTTAATTTTTGTGTAAATTTACTTCAAATAAAGATATGAGAAACTACTACTTGCTTATCAAAATATCTTTGAGTTGTTAATTAAGTACGCAATTGCATCAAGGATAATGGATGATTTATTTGAAATGGAAATTTATGTTGGTAAATAATAAAAATGTTGGTTGAGTATTTGTAGCAATTCTATCAAAAGATGTTGGGTAAAAAGTTCGTTGCTGCTTACACGATTTCCGATTTACATTTCGGTATTCTATCTTCGCAATTGTACCACGTAGCTCTTTTAATGTTTAAGATTTTGTTACGAGGAAGAGTCCAAAATACGAGTTCTAAGTCGAAATCATGATATATGAAATTATGATGTAAAAAAGCTAAAAGTAGTGTTCCCATTATACGCTTCCGTAAATTTCTGTCCCAACAATGTCTTTCGAATGTTACACTTTCTACAGACGTTGACATTACAGATTTAAAAGTGTAAGTATACTTTTCATTTAGCAAGGTTTTAATGCTATTTCTCTAGAACCAGTATCTTTTTAGGGGAATTTTTCGTCCGTCCGTCTGTCGTCTGACCCAAGAATGCGAGTCTTCGTATCTTGTTTGCTGTTCACTCCACATTCCCAAGTAGCTCATGACAGAAAGACACAATGTTTGACTTGCGTAAATCTCTTACAATAGATTGAAAATGATCGAGAATTTTTTATTCTAATTCCAAACCATTTTTCCTCGACATTTAGTCAATACGAAACTTGTTCCTGAAATGAGTAATGTTTTCAAGGAGAATGTTAAACAAAGCGAATCCTTGAGGTGGAAATTTTAACTGCCACAGCGTGTAAATTAACTACAAATACAAATTAATTCCGCAACTTCCAGAGTTGCTTATACGTATTTCCTTGCCGGGGTAGGTACGGGTAGAGTGTACACCTGTAGTGTTTTTCCAGCCGAGTGGTGGAAAAGGTTGGGACAAAAAACATCCCCGCTTTTTGCTTAACCTCGTGTTGCACGATTACAATATGACAAATCCTTGCAAGCTTTTTTATTGGGTCACTAAGCATGTCACTCCAAACGCTCGAAATTTCACATGTTTCACAATGAAAAATATTCTTATGCCACACAAGGAAATTTGCTAATAGGATTTTTACACGCGAATTTGTTAAAAATAATCGCTATAGATCTCATGTCTGCGATAAATATACAAGAACTCATTAGAATTGTACCAAAACAAAGCTTTTCGTTCAAACAAATAGGGTGCACTGCATTGAGTCGAAATCAAAATTTTTAATCAAGAGTTTAAACAAATCAATGAAGATTTTGAGGTCTTAACTCAGCAAAGGCTATTCTTTAGATTCTACCAGGTCTTCAGATTGTTTCAATTGCTTGATGTTCTTGTTTCAGATCATTCAATTTCGTCATTCGAATTGCACTGCTCCTTCCGTTCCTTAGATTCTTCAGATTTTCCATTCCTTTATACTTTTCAGGCTATATACTTCAATTCCTCAGATTCATCTGATTCTTCTGTTAAGACAAATTCCTCAGACTTAAGGTTCTTTGAATTATTCAGAATCTCTCAGTTCTTTTGATTCTTCCGATTATCTAGATTCAGTTTCGTCGGATTTTTCCAGTATCTTGTAATTCATTTATTATGCCTATCAGATGTTTTATACTAACAAATCAAGAATTCCAAAGTATCCTTCAAGAGTAAGATGATGAAGTAATAAAAAACCAACAAGATAGTGGTGGTCCAAATGCTGCCAAAAAGTTTATTGTAATCAAGACTGTTTCTTCAGCTTCCTCTTGTAGTTCCATTGTTAGGAAATTCTCAATCTCAATGTCAACTACTTCATCCACGTCTTCCTCTAAATCAATTTGAGCTTCTACATTAGTACAGGTGCGTCCTTGGCGTCCGATACAAATGGATGAACAATAGAAACCTGCTGTGCCCAATGCCACAGACACAATTTCCCTTGCAGCCGTTGGGGCATTTATAAGAAATTCATAAGCGCATCAAGTGCTGCTTGGCAAAGAAGCGAGGTTCATTGTTTTCTTGCTTATGCCTTTTTGAAAGAACTGGAATTCGAATTCATCCAAATAGACATTTTGCTTAGATCCTCCATACAAAAAAATGATAAATCTCTGTGCTCTTTAATCTAACAGATGTGGATGGGGATTTGATTGTAGAAATGGTCCAAGAACAATTTCAGTTCGTTATTACTTTGGAAGATTTTAAGGAATTTCATTTTTTTCCATGCCAAAGAAGGCTGATGTATCACATCCACTGAAGGCATGAAGTAATGATAAATATTCTCGAACAGAAGGGTACTGGAAGCTATCAGGACCATTTGTTCAATCTTCCCTTTCGATGGTTTGAGAAAGTAAATTTTTGAATCTGGTCGAGTAAGAGCTATAAGAGATCGATGTCTTTTCCAACTATCACTGCTGCATCAAATTCCTGTGATATTTCCAGTGCTGTATTAATTAGAGCATCAGCATCGTCATAGGATTGCTTGCAAATGAAATCTGCGTCAAAAAGCTTTCCAGTGAGAAATTCAATGAGTCTATTCTTATTACTGTTACTGCTCGTTGACGTCAATTTCAATGCAGGCTTGTTGTCGACGAAGTCTCTCCGCAGATTTTGTGCTTTTCGTTGCTGCCTTTTCTGGATAACCATCGAAAATTATCACGCTATGAGGTTGGAAGTGCTTCTTGGAGTACTTCACGTATTCATTGATAATCGCCACTGGTGCTGCCAGATTACTCAACGAAGAAGCACTCGTCCAAACTAATTCTTCGGGATTTCCATGATAATCTTCACGTACAAACAGATTCTGAAGAATTAGCACTTTCTGTTCGTTCTGGATGGGCAAACGGCAGGTCAGATTCTGGATAAATTACTTCAGCCACATTCTTCGAGTATATAGCTAATGTTTTTCAGTTCTCTCGTCTCAATTTCAGTTCACCTTTCACTAACACTTACCAAAACCAGAAACCACGATTTATAATATGAAGTCTAACACTATATCAATGCCTTTGTGCTATAACTACAATGGGTGGATATTATAAGGCCCAGTGGCAAAAGGGGAAAACCTGAAGCAATAAAATACAGAAATTGGAAATTAGAGGGAAGAAAGTCCTCAAAACTATTCTCTGAAACCTCAACTATATGCAACGCACTCAAAGGAATACAAGAATATTAAACCTAGACCTAGGAACTGACGATTACATCATTACGAGAAAAGAGTCTAAAACAGAAATAAACATAAACTTAAATGATGAAAATGATGGGGGTGTGGTAAATACATGGAAGGCCTTAAAAGTACAATGGTTTAGTGAAAAATTTTATGGATGGTGAATATACGCCAAGTGACTTACCCTGTGTAAATCATAAAACGTTATTTGACTGTCTCTCTTGAAGATATTGTTTGTTAGGATCCAAACACGAAAACACATTATGTTAATGACAATCTATCTATTGTCAATTTTAATAAAGAATATCCTCTTTGCTCCGCCGAATCGCTACTTGAAAAAAGTTTTTTTTTGTTACAGTTGAGACCTGTTAATTTGGGAAATAAAACAAGTGGATGGAATTGAATTCATATCAGAAGAGATAAAATATTACACAATAAATTGTAAATATAAGCCTTTTTTAGCGTGGGGAGAGGGGGCGGGAGGCTTGTCCCCGAAGTATTTTCTAAATTGACTTGACAGTTTAAAATTGAGAAGCACTGCATAATATTCTGTTGAACTCGAAAGGCTTAACTTCAATTGAGAATTCAACATGTGGTTCAACAGCAAAAAAAGGGAAGGATTGGCAAGGTTCCCCATTCCCGCGGGCATTGTCTAAACTTCGCGAGGTTTTCAGGAGCAGACGCCCAACCTAGAAGCATGTAAATGAAGTGTTTATTTCTTCATGGAGAACAAGCCGGGTAATTGAAACGGTTCAAATTTAATCAAGAGGGACCATTGTCATAGAACCTCCGATTCATTTATTATGGAGTTTAACTGTCGCCGCGTGAACATCGAACAATTTATTATAATGTAAGCGTGCCGTTGAGATTTCATCGATTTGAAACATTCACGGTAAGCCTTCTAAATTTCCTTACATTCTCGTTATACCTTCACAGTCTACCTTAACAAGGATTTACTATTGTATCTAGACGTTGATTGTGCTTTGTAATCGATTCTTGCGAGCTAAATAACTGGGCGCAACAGGTGCTGCACGGCACATACGACGTTCAATTCAGCTCGGATTGCAGTATTCTCCCATAAAATGTGTATATCAATCCTTCTTAGCAACTCTGATCCACTGAAATGCAAATGAAAACATTTCTTATTCTGGAATAAACTGTTAAAGTAAAGTATAAATTTGGAATACACTTGTGACAGGAATTATATTGCTACGCGCGAAGGATGTTTTCAAAAATTCAAAGGTTTCATAATGAATAATGGTAAGAAAGGCACATTACGCCATCCATAACCGGTAAACTTCAACTTGTAAATAATATAAATAAAAAACTATCCATCTTTTCTCTTTAGCTGTTCGGTGATGATGATAGCTTTGACGTCCAAACGTTGTGGTTTCTTGTTATTCTTTCAAATTTTTCATATTCATATTGTAAAGTGCCGTACCCCATCTCGATGGACAAAAATCACCATTAATGTCACCAAAAAACAATTAATGTTAATAAAAACAGAGTAGCTTAATTTTTTATTAGCTAAGACCCAAACTTAGTTCGTCTTCGTGTATTATGTGGGACGTAGAAAAACGGCTTTGTATAACATAATAATGAACTACAAAAGCGCGATTTTTTACGCCACTTTTTTGGAGCATTTACAATCTCGGGAGATTCATGTATTCGGATCTTTGTAACTTGTAACTTTGTAACGTACGTGTATACATTTGCAAAATCGACTAACGAATGGTGATAAGCTAATTGCTAGTAATGCGATTTTATCCTTTCCGCTATATAACATCGTAAATCTTTCTAAAGGCTTTCGCGGACAGTGCAAAAACGGGTTTATAATTTCCAGAAATGGCATGAGAACCAAACCAAAATTA